ATTGGGACACCATCACAACATAACCGGGACACCATCACAAGGTGACCAGGACACGAGCATGACATGACGGGGACACCATCACAACATGACCGGGACACTATCACAACATGACCGGGACACCGTCACATGACCCGGACACCATCAAAACATAACCGGCACACCGTCACAACATGAGCGAGACACCATCACAACATGACTGGGACACCGTCACAACATGACTGGGACACAATCACAACATGACCGGGACACCATCACAAGGTGACCGGGACACCAACATGACATGACGGGAAAACCATCACAAGATGACCAGGACACCATCACAACATGACTGGGACACAATCAAAACATGATCGGGACACCATCACAACATGACCGCGCCACCATCACATGACCGGGACACCATCACAACATGACCGGGACACCTTCAAAACATGACTGGGACACCATCACAACATGACCGGGACACCATCACAACATGACTGGGTCACAATCAAAACATGATCGGGACACCATCAAAACATGACCGGGACACCAGCATCGCATGACCCGGACGCCATCAAAACATGACCGGGACACCATCCGCCCACGAGCTCTGACGGTGACCCGACGGCGCCCGTCCGCCTATTAGTTTTGCAAGACCCCATAGCATGGCTATTGGGGAACAAACACAAGCTAGCTCCAGCTCAGGCCCCAACCACCTCGCCCACCAACCTTCCGCAGCTCTGCGCCATCGCTCGCGTGCGCGAAGCAGCAGCGCACCTCGACGTCCTTCCAACGGCCAAAGTGTCGAAGGATCAAAGCGTGGCTCTCGCTGTTGGGACTGAAGAAGAAGACCGACTCATCGCCTCACCGCCGGGGTCCCCCGACGCTCGGAAGAGAGGGAGGGGCTGGCGGGGTGGCTGGCTTCGACCTTAGGGTCTGAGTCTTTGGTGGTTCCTGGTTTGGAGACTGAGCATGAGCCTGGCACTCTGGCACATTTCACCAAGTTAGACCATTTGGATGATGGGGGCCCACACTAAGTCACTAAGTGCTTTGCTTGTTGCCATCCATCCAGGTTAAGTCACTGCACAACAACAATGGATGGCTTCATAGAAGAGCTTGGGAAAAGCATGGAAGCGGATTTCTGTACACTTTCTTGGCTTCACTCGGGGTAGATAGTCCTCAATATAAGAGGCTCATTGGATGTTTACGCATGTTTGAGGTTTGTCATGCGCCTGAATGTTCGGGTGGAAATGGGGGACGTGAACAAGTCTCGATTCTGTGTCCAAATCGCTAGCAGGAGCTGCATGAAACTTCCCCGCAGGATGGTGACATGTTCGCCCCAAACCGCTGCACAGGTGATGCTTCGTCCCCGGTAGGCGGATCTCTTGAGGATCGAAGCGGATCGACACCAACAGTCTGCCAGCTCAACAGGTGCCATTCAAAATCGATGTGCTGCAACTAAATATGTCGAAGTATATGTCAAAAACCCCAACCGACTGCTGCAAAGAGTGACCATTCCTGGAACAGTGGTGTCCCATCTACTCAACCCAACCCATTGCGATGTCCAATTCCACAGTCTTCAGTCTCGAGAAGGAATCTCTACTCACTAGTAGCGAGGACGCTATGCTCGGTGGAGGCCATCGCAAGTAGGTTGGAGTCCATCGCTATACTAGTAACTATATAGTAGCAAGCAAGGATTGCACCACAATAAGAGGCTGGAGTCTCGAGAAACAGAAATCTCTACTCACCAAAGAACTCTTCCTACACCAACCCCAAACTCGCCACTCAACCTCGTGCCTTCTGATTCTCTATAGCTTGGTTTCGAGGGACCTTGTCCGCCGTCTCCGGCCTGAGTAAACCTTCAAGATCTGGCCATGCTCAGTCGGATGAAAGTTGGAGCCGTCCTTGAAGTGGCCTGTCAAGCCGCTTTCCCCAAACGGTGAATTATCGTGAATTCAGCCTGATTTCTGATCCGAGCCGTGGGGGGTTGGGGCGGTCCAATCCCGAAACCTCGGAAAACGTCGGCGTCGGCCGTGACGGCGGAGGTTGTTTCTGGCGGTGTGTGGCCGGTGGGTGGAAATCAAGGCGGTGAAATGGTGTGAGCAAAAGGCTCTAACTGGTTCCTTGCATCCTAAATCCTATATCTCTTTTTATATCTGTTTATTTCTCAAGTTGTTCCTTTTCACCTTGTTCGACCTCCGCGCTGCCACCCGCGTTTCGCGACATGCCGCGGCTTGACTTGCCGCGACGTGCCGCGCCTTTGACCTTGTGGGCTCGATCGGTGGTGCCGATCCAATCGTCCGAGGTGCCCAGCCAGACCTGGCCGAGCTGCCGGGAGCGTTGGAGTCCCAGGGTGTCGGATGCAGCGAGTTGGTGTGGGAGATGGATTTGGCCATGAATGGCCATGAGGGTCCAAGGATGGAGATGGATTTTTCTGACCAAGTCAGATTCTTTGGGGAGATATACAGTTGGAAGATGGACGCCGTGCGTTGCTGTCCTTTTCGGGCGCGCCCGCGAGGCGGTGTGAGACCATCACACTTGGGCTACAAAATGGAGGGTTCCAATTCCCCTGACCCACACGCTGGCGGATGCAAATTCTGGGGTCCACCTGTCATGACTTGTGTGGTTGCCTTTTTAAGAGTGGCGCCCCTCTCAGTCCCTCTTTTTGCTCATTTGTGTGGAAAGGATCTTCGACAAGGATTTTCAAGGCCGCAATTGAGACAAAAACATCCCAATGGTCTTCATGCAGAGCTCCCCCAGCATACAAATCCTAACGTATCCTAAAACTAAAGAAACCTTGATCGCCTCATTAGAAAGGTTGTGAGGGTAAGAAGCGACCCCCAATGCCTTCAGAAACCCACCCAAAAAAGCCCTAGCCGCCTGGATATCTTCCAGATCTCGTAGAGCTGTGAAGGTGAAGTTGGCGGCAAAGACCATGCCATCTTTCTTAAAGCTATAGCTTCCTGTGGCACATGACGGTGCTTCATCCAATTCTGTTGATTCATCCAACATGCTCAGGGCGGCTTTGACCGAAAAAAAGGCACCGAAGCTCATGGCATCAGGGGAGTTGCTCCACCAGTCTGGGTAGCGAGGTGCTCTCACCTGGCTGCCCTCTATATGCCTCCAACCGAATAGCAATGGCCTCCATGGGAATAGCAATGGCCTCCAACCTGATAGCAATGACCTCCAACCTAATAGCGATGGCCTCTAGCTTCTTGTTTTGTCTAATTTTGAAGGCTTGAAACTGATAACAGGCCTCCAGTCCTAAAAAAATTGGCCATGAATTCCATGTCAGGACTCAGGTGGACTAGCAAGATCGTTGGCTTCCATAGCTGTGTTGATGGATCTCTCTGCCCCTTGACTCATGCGTATCACTATAACACGCAGATGCAGATTCTGTTTTGAAGCAATCTGCACAATGAGTCCCAGACATGCATCTCCTGCAGGACATGAGTAAGAAGGATAGTGGCTACTGTAACTGGAACAGTTGTAATCCCAAGTTGAGCGGAGAGATTGTGGGAAAAATCAGTTGACTTGGAGATACAGGATACTATAAATATCTGTGAAGGGAATCCTGAAGACCGGTCAGCCATGCGGAAGGTCCATAGAAGGAGTCATGTCATGAATCTGTACTATTGATCTATATCACTGTATCACTATAAGGAGACACCAAGGTAGGTCATTCCATTAGAAACGTAGACATATGTATGATCATTATGTATATACAGTTACAGTAAGCTGCTTTCAGAATCATAACCTCAAATTACGGGCTGCATCTCGTGCCAAGCATCGAGTTAGGACAGCCTCAGCCACGAACTGTCAGGTTGGACGCTCTGCTGCTGCCCGAGGGGTGTGAAAACATGAGAAGTAATATCGATTTCGTTTCTGGAAGTTGGAGTATTTAATGTCTGGAGGTTGGAGTCCAGGGTGGGCATTCAGAATCTTATGACTGATGCTGAAGCGCAAGTTGCTACTACGTCGGGCTTACTGTATATAGATTTGAATTTCTACTTTGTGCTTAGTGAACAAAGCCTATCCCCAAATCAAAGCATGCTGGCATTCTTTCAATGCAGAATGAAGGACACCGAGCTGAACCCAGACCACCCGAAAGAGAACCCCGAGCCAAGCACTTGTGCTTGACATCAAGAAGCATGTCTCTGGAACATCAGAACTGAAAGCACCAGAGATAAAATATTTATCCAGTCATCTTGGGTCCTTCAACAAAAAACAGCCATGTTACTGATAGAACTATTCCCCACCTTGTAAACCTGACCCTGTAGATCTTCCGCTTGCTGAAAATGCAAGCCACCCACCGATGATCTCGTTTGAATTCTTTTGCACCATAGTACCCCCTAAAAAGTGACACATGGATTCATGAAAAATGCAAATGAGAGATGAGTAAGAGAGGAAAATAGAGGAACACAACAAACACTTGAGGGCGCACTGGGGGAGGGGAATTGCCACTTGTAAACAGTTGAAGCCACACCGCCAGAATCTCTCCCGGGCGTCCGGACGGCAGGCTGGTCCATGGGTCTCAATTGAGAGGTGGCCATGGCATAGGAGCGGTCCCACCACTTCACAGCATCTGGATCGCCTCAGTCCCACCCTGACCCCTGATGCGCGATCTCAGAGCAATGCGCTCGTGCTCGTGTGGACGAGTGATGCGTGGCAGCGTGGCAGGTGTTCTTCTGGAAAGCACATGCTTGCAGTGTGGGTGTGAGCTGGAAATCCAAGCAGGAAGAAGGAGCAAACATGTTCTAGTGGTGTTGCTTGGATGTTGATCGTGTGTGCGTGTGTGTATGTGTGAGATTTTGGACATTGTAGAGAGGGTTTGAGGTGAAACAAGCTAAAGAAACCATAGAATCAGCAAGAAAGAGTGAACGACCCTGGACTCGTCACAAGAAGCTGTGAATCACACCTGCGTCCTATAATGTCTTATACATAAGCAACCCTTTTGGTCGATGGGTCCGGGCTGAGGTGGTGAATGGATTTGGCTCGTTTTTCTCGCTTCACCTTTTGTGATGAACGAACCGCACGTCCTGTCCCGCACGTCCATCCTGTCCCCCACGTCCGTCCGAGGAATCGCGAGAAATCGGTCAAGCCGCTCTCAAAGTTGACCTTGACTCCATCCACCTGGACAGTCCGTGCTCGAGACATCTGCAGGAACTGGCTTCGAACTCTGGGACGTGCTTCCGACCAGGTGGGACCAGGTGGGTGCCTATAGAATCTATAGAAATGACCAGTTTGAGGCCCTCTTGAGCGGTCTTCACGAGGAGGAGTACAGTAACTGTTTGATGCATGCTGGCCGTGTGGCCTATGCCCGGGGCGACGACTCAGTGTTTGGTCCAAAATGCCACGCACGACTCAGTGAGTGGGCAACTGCGTCACCCTTCAAAGACCCTGTCATAGGTGACTCTTTTCAGAAGGCCACCTGACTTCTTTCAATGCACCAAACATTGAGACATAGAGCATCAAAGAGCATTACCATAGGTCATCTACAGACAGTCCCTGGATCTCTCCCCATCCCAGTGGGTCCCACATTTCGCCACCAGGTTCGCACCTTGACCGTGCAATGCAACGGCTTCCGCCCAGAGGTGAGCTTCGTCCACGTCTCGGTCGCTCCGCTGGCGCTGGCGCCGGTTCCGCTGCTGGCGTAGAAGGGCTGACCCAAACCTCGCGCGGCATCGCCGAAGAATGCGGTCGGCGTGATGAAACCCGGTCACCATGAAAAGATGCCATCCCCTATACTCATATGATCGTCAAATCTTCACCAACGCTTGCTTTGTGAACTGGCAACCTCGAAGGAAGACTGAAACCATACTTGTTTGGCAGAATGGCAATCAAGTTCTTACAAAGAATCCTCTCAACTTGGTCCAACAAAAAGAATGGCACCTCCGTGGCTCATCAAAGCGAACTTGAGGTAATCGCTTTGAAGGACCTCGATGGGCTACGAGGAAGGCCGCGCACGACACCACGTCATGAGCCGGAGCCAAAAAAAGAGGCCGCGCCGTGAGGCGGCCACTGTGGTGGGGTGGGTCTGTGAGAGACGAGCCTCTGCTTTTTGGGGCGAAAATGGTGGGAAGGCTCCCGATGTCCAAAACATGTTTTCTGGTTGCAACCAAAATAGCAACTGACTGGTGTCTGACCGGTGAGCTGGCTGAAAGATAACAGCTTTTGGTTACAGCTGGTCGGCAAACTCTCCTTAGGATGTATGTACCTGGTTCTAAGCAAAATATAGTGTACTGAGGCTGGCGAGGGATGGGAGCCTTGGACTTCCGAAGCAATGACATTCAAGCATGTGTCAATTTAAGTTGGGATATTATATGTAGTATAACATAATACCTCATCATATATATATAATACTCCATGCCATCACTTCCACCTAATCCAGACCACCTCTGCACCACAGCATGCCGGACATTGCTGGACTCTTGGTGTTGAAGTAAACACCGAGACAACCATGTGAGCTACTATGTGAGCTTCACTTGTACTACTAGTATGTCAAACCTCTGGAGGGGTATTCTTGCTGGAAAATGACAGCGTTGATGTCGGTTCACTCAGCAAAGCTCAATAAACAGCAGCAAACTCAGCTGAGCTCAGAACTTCTGGGCCATCGCCATCAACCTCCATTCATTTGGATCCCCAAACCCCGTGGCACTGCTTCCCTGGACCAGATGCATTCTCGGGCACTGCTGGCGCGGGCGCGGGAGCAGCAGGTTCGGGGTATGGTTGTCCTCGGTCTTCGCTTCAACAGAGCATGACCTACCAGTTAACACACTGCCCGCACTGCCAGCTGCGGAATGTGAACAACGTTTGTTGTGGTTGGCGTCAAACCCCATGAAACCATCAACTGGCAGCGTTTGCTCATCTTTTGAAAAGGGAATCCTGCATGAACACCTTGCCTGTCCTGAAACACACTCTGGCGCTAGGTGCTCACTCGCACCCAGACTGGCACAGTTTGTTGCGTAGCCAATAACTTACAAATACTTACATAAACTCTTACAGTACTCTGTATACTCTTTGTATTTATTGAACACGTTGTCATCTTCACAGAAATCCTGTCCATGAAGCCCTTGCTCATAAACAATACTCTACAATTTTTGGTCCTTGGTTTAGGTTGCTTTACTGCAGGGAAATGGATTCGCACATTGAGTCTGGAAGATCACCTCGCCATTCCGAAAGTATGTACAATGATTTGCGTTGGTTCTCGCAAGTACCGCGCGTATACCAAGCTCCCGGCGTTTCTTCGAGGAAATGGTCGATGATACTGTCGGCCCCTGTTGAGGCCCGGCCGACGGGTGCGTCTCAAGACCTTCCAA